TAAGCTTTCTTTTATTTAGTTCTTAATAATAATTACAAAATTCTAAAGCTATAACAGCTTTAGATAAAATTCTAAAAGAAATGTTTTTGAAAAAAATATAAAACTATTATCGCAGCATAAGGTATGCAAATATACTTTCTTACTGTTTTCACTTTGACACAGGAAATGTGTATCAGGTCTGAATAACCACAGTTATTCAGGAGTTCAAAAGAATGATCTGTTCAAAAGAATGATAATAAGGTTATGAGATTATAGCACATGTGTGAAAACTGTCTAGTAAGAACACAGTTTTACTGAAATTATGCTGAGTTAATTTCTATAATAGTACACAAATCACAAACCTATACACTCCCTTAAAAATTCTAGGAAACACAAGAACACAGAAACATAGATCCTATGCCATCAAAGGAATGATGTCATCATACTGCTTATGGGTCTGTGGGATTCTGTTGTCTACATGTGAAAGAATAAGGTGTAAAAGGCAAATTACAACTTAGACTAGTAATTTGCTCTGACTTTGAAGACCCCCTTAACAGGGTCTTGGGGAATCCTTGGCCTCTCAGATCACATTTCAAGCTGCTGTGTATACAATTCTGTTGCTCTGTAAGTTTTCCAACTTCACAGACATGTCCTGTAATACAATTCTTTATTGGCTTTTCTCTCCCCTCTGTTAGTTGTTTCTTCAAACAGTAGGTGAGCAGAAATAAAATCACTAAGACAAATTCAGAATGTGGGACATCCAATAAGACAGTTGTCCAGTCTCTTCCAAAAGTCAATGCCATGGGGGAAGGTGGAGGGGGGGGGTGTTGTAGAACAAGAGACTAGAGGTACAGAACAACCAAAATAATTGGTGTGTAGAATTTTACTGGATCCTGGTTTGAAAAGAAAAATAAACAGGAGTAAAGACATTTTTTGAACCTAAGTAATATTTGAAGATGAAACAGATATTAGATGATATTGAAGAGTTGAAGTTCATTTTCTTATGAATGGTAATGGTATTAGCGTTATTTAGGAGCATGTTCTTATTTTTAGGATATGTATGCTGCAGGTAAAGGATTAGGGGTCAAGTTTTATGGTACCTGTGACTATGAAATGTTTCATAGAAAATGATCTATGAGCCTATTTATACACACATAGAAAACTAGACGAATTCAAGGTAGATAAAGATGGTGTTAAGAACGGCAAATCTAGGTGGTGGGGATACAGGTGATTCTTGAACTATTTGTTCAGTCTTTCAATTTGTTTACCTCTTTTCACACTAAAAAGGTGCCTAATAAATCAAATATTAATATTATTCACATCCAGATCACTAAAAGACGATAGAACTGTTGTTAAAGTTGCATGAGACATTTTCTAATCATTTTACTGTAAACCATGCCATTCGGTGGGTAAGTGAGCTCCACATGATTCAGGTAGGAATTTTAAAAAAAAAAATTTTTTTAATGTTTTATTTATTTCTGAGAGACAGCGTGAGCAGGGGAGGGTCAGAGAGAGAGGGAGACACAGAATCTGAAGCAGGCTTCAGGCTCTGGTGAGCTGTCAGCACAGAGCCTGATGTGGGGCTCAAACCCACAAACCATGAGATCATGACCTGAGCTGAAGTCAGACACTTAACCAACTGAGCCACCCAGGCACCCCAGGCTGGAATTTTCAAACTTCTGTCACTTAGGTTGGGTTATGCCACATCAGGCAAACTTTTGAGATCACACTTGTCAAATCTGTAAAATGGGTGACAATAACAATGCTATTTCAGAAAGTGGTTGTAAAACTAAACTTTATGTTCTCTAGAAAATCCTTAGCCCAGTGTCTGGCCAATAGGAAGTACTCAAATCTCATCTTCTATTATTGTCATTGCAAATTGCAAATTGAGTCCTTCATTCAGTTTAGAAGAGCCAATGGCAAAGCACAACAGGCATTAAATCATCTCTATTACATTACATTCAAAGGCATTCTGTAACTTCAGGCCTATTGCAAGTCTTTAAGGAATCAACAGCTGTAATAGATACTTAAGAATTACTTGTAATTAGCATGCAAATTGTTATAATTTTTTCACATATTCTTCTCTACTATTAAAGCATTTTCTGGAAGTTTGTCCTTATAATTATTTTGCCTTAAGTTTTCTAAATCATAAATGACTTCATCTTGAATTATATGTGCAAATTAGTAAAGTCTACATTAATGTCTTTTGATGTGTTGGGGAAAATTTAACCAACATATTTCATGGGTAGAAGTCCAAATTATGAATATCCTCAGTTGTTTTGTTCTTGGTGTAGGAGCTCTTGGTGGACCAATAATTCTTAGAAAGGAAATTAATTCTATGAGAAGGGGATGCCTGGGTGGCTCATTTGGTTAAGCATCTGACCCTTGATTTCAGCTAAGGTCATGATCCCATGATTCGTGGGTTTGAGCCCCATGTTGGGCTCTCACTGTTAGTCCAGGCTTTCTCTCTCTCTCTCTCTCTCTCTCTCTCTCTCTGTCTCTTACTTCTCTGTCTCACTTCTATCTCTCTCAAAATAAATAAACTTTAAAAACTTATATGAGAGACTTCAGTGTTTGTAATGATAAAGGTCTTAAGATTTTAAAGATAGTTACAAAGGTATTTTCAGAGCAATTTATTAAAGTGAAGCCATTTATTTTTTTGGTTAATTGCTCTCCATTTTGTTACATCTAGAAGTTCCCCAGCTATTACTGATCATTTGTAAAATATCAGCCTTAATTTTTGTTAGTAACTAATGCTGCTGAATGCTTTGAGACATTTAAATTTTTCAAAGATCAGGATAAGCATACAGCAATATTATTCAGGCACGAGAAAGAAGGAAGTTCACATCTGCAACATGGCTGGACCTTGAAGGCATTATGCTAAATGAAACAAGGCCAGACTGAAAAAGACAAATACTGTATGCTATCATGTGTACGTAGAGTCTAAAAAGTCAAGGTCATAGAAATGTGGGTGCTGGAGGGTGGGGGAGATAGGAAGATGCTAGTTGAAATGAAACTTTCAGCTACAGCTTAGGATGAATAAGATCTCTATCTAATATATAATATGGTGATGATGATGACTAATACTGTGAAATGTGCTAAAGAAGTAAAACTGAAAATATTTTCCACCAAAAAAATAATAAATACATGAGGTAATAGATTTGTTACTCAACCAGATGGACAAGCCCTTTTACCATGTGTACATGTATCAGGCTGTACACTTTAAACGTCTTCTAATTTGTCAATTATACCTCAAAGCTGAAAAAGTAAAGTGGTAAAAGGTATTGCAAGTGCCCTTCCTAAAGTGTAAGGTTCATGGTTTTGCTCAGTGTATCATGTAGTCAAACACATACTATTTTTTTCCTCATGGACACGATCTCTCTGGAATGTGGAATTATTATGGTATGGCTTGGCATGGGCAGAGCACGGGTTGAGGTAAACAGTGGAGCATGGAAGGGATGTAGGCTTGTCTGTGGAAGGGATCCAGTTATAATAACCTGAGAAAAACTACACTGTAGTCTGTGTTTTCCACCAGCACCTACTGGGATAGAAGGATTCTAATCACTCTTACATCTTAGGAGTCCCTGAGAGATAGTTCACTAAAAGAACAAAGAAGGGGTAGATTTTTCAATCTGCATCACTCATGGAAACAGCTTTCTCTGTCTTCCTCTGTTTCTGTGAGTAGTGCCATCCAGCTGCTGAAATAGACTGCCTTCTGGAAATTAAAACCCACATGAATAAGACCACAGCAGTAAATCTGGTGGAACAGATGGTCCTGGGTGAATTGTTCTACCTCTGTATAAAGACCTTGGGATTTTGTCAGTAGGCTTAACACTAAGTAATAGGACCCAGAGGGAAAAGTGAATGGTAAAACTTCCATGCCTACCTCCAAACAGTATGCTCTGGTTTCTTCCATTGTATCATTCTAATCAAGCCTGAATTATTCACTAGGTCAAATATCAGATATGCAAATACAGATGTACTCATTATAGTGTTCACTCTATTTAAGCATTGAGGTCTGATTATATGAGACTTCAGTTCTGTATCCCAGTTAGGTTTTCCAGTGGAGTTTCAAGAATTAGATGTTGATGGGTGTTTTGATTTCTTTGGAAGTCATTACTATATCACATAGAAAAGAACTTATGTTGGTCTGTACATTTAGCGTCACTCAGTATTTTCATTTGCTGGTCATGGGGGCGGGGGTGGGATATGAGGAGGAGGAGGTAAGGGAAACTAATAATGTTCCTGATCTCCTGAGTCTGGCTCTTGTCTCCACCCTATCTGATCTGATCTTTATAATTGTCCCAGGAAGCCTTCACACATCCGTGCTTTCCTAACTTGGCTCAACACATGCTATTGAATTATTATTTATAAATGCTGGAAAATACAAGAGTCGAACAAGACAGATACACCGTTCTTATGTTTGTGGAGTTTTAATTCTAACAGGGAGAATACCCCAGAACAAATATCTGATTAAGTATCTAATGACTGTTAGAGCAAGGGATAGAGGACCTCTTAGGGGGAGAACCTGACCTAGCTGGAGGGGCTTGGGGAGAAACAGTTTCCAAGGCTGTTGAATGAATGCTTGTGGGTCTGAGTATACATTGATCACACTGTGTCCTAAAGAACGAGTAGAGGTGCCCTGTAGAAGGAGCGTGTGTGTGTGTGTGTGTGTGTGTGTGTGTGTGTGTGTGTGTGTGTACAGAGGGACCTAGAGAGGCAGATTGACTGGAAGGAATCTGGTGAGAGCTGACTGAAAAGGAAGAAAATGTTATTTTCCCCATTATAGCAGAGGCATCTATGGGCCCATGAGTAATCATAAGTGGGATTTAAACTTGGCTCTGTCCAACCTCCATGTTCTTTCTAGTACAATATGCCTTTTCCCTGTTGATCATCAAATCATGCTCAAGTTAGTGCTTTCATCGTCATCTGCAGGTTCTTTGTCATGAAATGCTTTTGCACGTTGCTGTTTGGTTTGCGGAAGAAAGTTGCTTCAGCACTATCTCTGTTTGGTTTTGCAGTGTCCCGACATTCCAGAGCCTTCCTGAAGAGATCCTCAGTAAGCTTGCCGATGTCCTTGAAGAGGTAATTGTTTTTAGACCTTGAACTCTGTGAGATATGGGGCACAGGCCAACACAGCAGCATGATGATGGGTCACATACTGAAGAGAGACCTTTTAACTAGCCATGAGCTCTGGGATGGGCTGTATGCTTGGCCTTGGGTAAAAGGCAGCTCATTGCACCCACCACTTATACACAGTTAGATATGTGCCAATCAACTTAGCTACAGAGGTAGGAAAACCTCACTGTGCCAAATAGAATATTTCTTTGACTTCCAAGAATGAGAGATGGCGTATTTCTCTCTTCTTTCAGTCCATGGAAAGCAAGATTTCAGTAACTACCTCTCTGAAGCTTCAGATGAGCAAATTTACAACAAGTATATGTTTTATTAGCATCTGAGTATATTTGACACACATAATTATATGCACCAAAGTGAAAATTTCACTACTCTTCTTATTCTCTGAATCTACAAAGCCCAGGAAATAGCACAGCAGGACCTGTGAGGTTTGCTGCACCCTGGGTGGCCAGGAAAGGGCAGGGTCTCTCCAGAGACAGGGAAGGAGGGGTATTGGGGCACCCGTGCAGGAGGGCAGGGCATTGGTGGTGGTAGGAGCTGGGGGACACCTGCTCTGGTACCTTCTGATCCGGAAAGCAGGGTCACCAGCTGAGGATGAAGAGGGGTTTGAGGCCAGAGGAGGAGGTGTGGAGGCGGGGATGAGCTGGAAGAACATGGCCTGACTGCCAGGTGCGCTGCCGCCCCACTTGATGTTAGCCGTCCGAAATCTAAATTAAACAGGCAAGGAAGAGTTTATTGAAGATGTGTGATAGGGTACAGACCAGGCTCAACCCTGCTAGAAGAAGAGGTGGCAGATGTTTAAGTGCTGGGCTGAGCTAGTGGAGAATAATGGGGAGGGGGAGTCCTCTCCTGGGGAACAGGTGAGTCAGTGTGCTGAGGTCATTTGTATTGGCCCATCATCTTTTCTGGAAGCCGGGCTCCCTGCCTCCCACAGACACACAGGCGGGTACTTTGCTACAGAACACGGAAGGGTTGAGGAGAGACTCTGGAGCCGAGGTGCAGGTGCAGAAAAGATGGTGGTGGCTGACCTTGGGGTTTAACTTGCCCGAGGATGGGAGGTGAATGGGAGGAGCAGGGCCCGCTGGGGATGATGGCCTCAGGGGGTTGAGTCTCGGGAGGCTGAGCAGTTGTCAGAGCTGTGCATTAATAGGAGTGACTTGGAAAGATGCCGAAAATGTTTTCCTCTCTAGGTCCCACCTATTCTGGTCCTTCAATGATCCAGAGAACCTAAGAGGTTCCTGTACCCAAATTCTAGTTCAAGGTCTATTGAAGAGAGCTCACCTACAATTTGTTGGTCTCCCTCACCTCCTATGTGAACACAAAGGAAAGCAGAGTCACATTGGGTTCCCAGGTTCAAGTATACAGAATTCATGAGAAATAAACACTGGTTGTCCTTCTCCCTGAATGTCCTGATCCCTGTGTCTGTAGCCTCTTGGGACTCTCTTCCTGGCCCATTTCGGTTTTCCCTTTCCTCACTGAATGCACACCGAAGAGCTCTCTGATGACCTTTTTTTCTCTTTTCAAACAAAGCAAACTCAGAGTACAAACTTACTAGTTCCAGTCAAGCACTTCAAAAAAAAAAAAAATCCTTTAATTATGTTCTTTCTTTTCCACAGCTGTGGAAGGATTCTGTATGCTTTGCAAAACAATAGTGAGAGCTCTATAATAATTCTGAAAAAAGAAATATTTTCACATTTTATGTCAGCTCTTCTAATGAGATGGTGCTTTAATGTACGTTTGGATGGTGTGAGCCAGAGTGCATCCTATAGGGACACTACCAAAGGGACCCGCATAATTAACTGCCTACATATTTGTTTTGAGAACATGAAAATAAAGTAAATAGACAAAATGCAAAGTAGACCCAGTAAATGAAAGTATTCGACTTAAGTTGAATCAACAAGCAGAGTGAGAAATTAGATGAAATTAAGGATCAGATAGAGTGAAGCAAATTTGGAAGAACAAAAGCGATACCAGTGTCACATCCCATTAACAGGAAATGTGCTTGCATAATTGAGCTGTCTTTCTTTCTGCAAATGTCCACAAGATGAAAGAAGGCCAGATCATCATGAAAGGGAAGTGGCAGTATCGTAGCATTCGGCAAAGAAGTCGCAGCCTTGTTTGTTGGACAGATATTTAGGGAGCACCTCCCATGGCCAGGAATGGCTCAAGCCCCGGGGATCCTGGGCTGCTCTCCCTTAACGTTAAGTTCCAGCGGAGGGCACAGAGGGTACTGATGAGCAGGAAGGGAGGCCTGGGAATGAGGCCGCTCTGTATCGGGTTACTGGAGGAGGACCTCCCTGAGGAAGTGAGGTTCATGCTGACATCCAAATGCAGATACTAGATGCACTGCATGGAGGGGGTCGAGGCAGGGAGCAGCCCCAGGTCCTAAAGCAGGAGGAAGCTTCGTGCCCTTAAGGGACAGAAAGAAGGCTTATAGTGGGGTGAGATGGGGCTGGAGGAAATCAGGTGAGGCCTGTTGACAGCAGCTTTGTGGGGCATGATGAGATCTTTGGTTTCTTGTCTGAGCGTGAAGGGGAGACTTAGAGGGTTGGATGCCAAGAAGTGGCATGTTCAAGTTGTGTTTTAATCACCTGTGGCTGGCCGATGGGCAAGGGGGTTGCAGTGGGGCAGACTGCTGTCAGTCCAGTGAGCCTGGGCGTCCCTGTGCACACATACTTTCTGACTCTTACTCCTTCTGTCGCTGTGAAATGATATTTCCAATGTAAGGGGACCAAAAAAAGTTAAAGAACAGGGATGGGGGAGGCAGGGACAGAGAGAGACAAAGTGTAACAGATGGAAAGAGGAATAAAGTGGTTCAGGAGGTCCATGTGACTACAAGATTAGGAGGAGATGCAAGAGATGCCTCTGAGTCATTTCTGCCATTGCCCCCCAGCCCCACCCACCCCTCAGTAATTTCTAGTGTGGACGTACATATCCATGGTGTGTTCTTCCCTGTGAGATTCTACAACAGGAACTAATACCCTTATTCTTTTAAGTTTATCTATTTTGAGAAAGAGAGAGAGCATGAGCTCAAGTGAGGGAGAAGCAGAGAGAAAGAGAAGGTGAGAATCAGAATCCCAAGCAGGCTCCACGCTGTCAGCATAGAGATTGACCCAGGGCTCAGTCCCACAAAGTATGAGATCATGATGTGAGCCAAAATTAAGAGATGCTTAACTTACTGAGCCACCCAGGTGCCCCCTAAGACTCTTTTTCTGTGTGTAGCAATTTAGTGCCCCTTTCTTCTTTTTCTCTATATCACATAGTAGAAATATTTCCTTTGCATATTGAATCTCTCTTGCCTCCTTTTAGGGACATAGAAAAGTTCTCTCCAGCCCCTTTGCAGAGGCATGTGTAGGCATAATTTCTTGTCAAAAGCCATAGCCAATGAAGCACACAAAGCCAAACCTTCCCCAGGTTGGGTTTTGCAAGACATGTTGAAATCATCTGTGTGACTTTCTAATTGTTCAACTTCATCATCACCATTGTATGCTCTTCCACATCTGGCTCAAACCAAGTCTTGATACATATCAGAGGTGATTGTAGGTGCTCCAAGTTTGGTTTGCTAGAGAAGCCATTTTATTGTTTGTAAAATAAATTGGAAGAGGTGTTTGAGGTGCATGTAGGGAATACCAACCTCAAACTTCATAAAATGATTTCATTGACCTCTTTGCCATCCCTTTTATCACAGCAAAAAATGTATATTTGAATTCATTAGTCAGGTGTGAGAATCTATCCTGAGAATCTAGGAAACAGCCGGGGGTAAAGGAAGAGAAGTGAAATTTAAGATAGGGTGTAATGGCTCCTTTCTTACTGTAACAATGACACACACTTCCTTTTTCCTTCACGACACGTGATTAGTCTTTCTGATGCATGACATTTTTCAAAAGGATGAGGCAATTCCTAGCTAATCTCCAACTGAGAAATAGCTCCCTTCACTGCTTACCTATCCAAGCATGATGGAGAATAAGCCCAGTGTCTAATATTCATTCATATATCAGGACTGTGGTGACATCTTTAAGGAAATTGGCAAATAAAAACATTTTCTGATTGAAAAACAAAAAAGTATTAACCTGATAGCCTATCACAAAGAGTGCTCGAAACTTAATTCGTGTAGGGGTTCTGCTTTCACCCACGAGGGAGAAAAAGTCGAGATAACTCAGGGAAAACTGTACTTCATGGAAAATACCAGATTGAAGACCAAATTAAGCCAACAAATTCACTTTCCACCACTTGGCATAGCATATTTTCCCTTTATGTGAATAGAAGTGGGGCATGGGTGCTATATTTAAAACTCTTGATTTTTAAATTGAAAATAAAGCATATCAAAACCACTTCTTGGCTTTTATTGGACCCTGTTTTGTGTCCAATTTGCTCATTAAAACATTGGATTTGTTCATCTTAGAATTAAAAATTCTCTTTGCTACATCAGCTTTGTAAAGCTCTTTACCTTTGAGTCTGCAACCTCATGCGATTGCATCTTGGACACGTTTGAGTAATGGGTGGTTCTGCTCTGTGTCCCTAGATGGTGCATTTGTTTTGTTTTGTTTTTGGTATTTATATGATTGTGGTCCTGACAACCTTTTAGACAAATAACATTCCTCAGACTTCTTGAATTAGGAAGAAAAAGATGGGAAAGTAAAACTGGGAACAAAAGGCAAGGAGAAAACATTTTTCGGATCCACCATTACTTGATAATATAGTAGGAGGCAAATATCAGATTGTCGCAGCCAGGGAACAGTGCTGGAGAAAGTGGTGAATGTAATAGAGGCAGTCCTCCTTCAAGTTCTGGCAGGTGTGAGTGAATATCTCAGTGTTCCTTGGTGGTACCTGCCACCTTGACATCTTCCCAGATGCCTCTGTGTTCTCCCCAGTTGTTAGCAGTGTGGGGGCATGGAGGGGGAGTCTTGCATTTGATTGAGTTATCGGAGCGCTCTGTAAACCTCTCTTTT